ATATTTTTTTACTTATTATTATTATTATTATTATCATCTGTATTGATATTTTTAAATTATTATAATAATTATTATCGTCTGTATTAATATCTTTTAATTATTATTATTATTATTATCATCATCGGTATTAATATTTTAACATTATTATTAGTAGTAGTATTAGTATTAATATTTTTTTACTTATTATTATTATTATTATTATTATCTGTATTGATATTTTTAAATTATTATAATAATTATTATTGTCTGTATTAATATCTTTTAATTATTATTATTATCATCATCATCATCGGTATTAATATTTTTAAATTATTATTATTATTATTATTATTGCCACTGTTAATTAAGTAATTAATTCTAAGAGTCAGAAAGAGAGAGGGCAGCATATGCGTATCTAGTGTGAGGGCAGCTGAGGTGGATACACGTGGATATGGGAAGCCAAACACACTAAATGTGGACGAAACAGCGCAGTGAAAAAACAGCCAGTTTTCTGCCGAGCAGTGATGAATCAGGAAATGTGCTCTGAGCCGTGCTGGTGAGATTAGGTTGATTGAGCTCTGTAACATCGCTCTGTTCGCTCTCACATCTGGTGTGTTTGGCGTCCCGTATGGGCAGGTTTAGGCTGGATCTGTGTCCCGTGGCTCACCTCTCAGCGAGACCCCTCTTGGTCAGGCCTGAGATGATGATGGGGTCAAAGGGCTCCTCGGTGCCGGAGATGGTGATGCCCAGCGGGCCGCCGTAGCGCTTCAGCTCCACCGTGTAGATGATGGAGCCGGACGACTCCTGCTCGTCTGCACAGAGGACACGCTTCTGCTGTCACATATCATTCTGAGGACACTAGATTCAACTGACACGCAGTCATATCAACATATTGTGGATATTCAATGAATAATTTAACATTGTGAACAGAAGAGCTCGGTGTTTACATCTTCTCTTGATTCGCTCTTGGAGCTGCAAAACAGGTCACACAAAGACATTTTCACTTCAAAGCAACGATAAGACGCTTCGATTCATCTGCTGCTCTGACCACAGACTGTGTTTTACCTCATAACAGAAAATCAGCAACGACTGATCTCTGTCTGTCATGTCAACAAAAAGTTACTACATGATTCCCATTCGTGTCATTTCACAGCTTCGAACGAGGCTCAGCCAATCAGAATCAAGGACCTGAACTCTCCGTTTTATAAATGCTGTAATATACTGACACCTGGTGGTCAAATGTTGAATTACACATTGACATGCTTTCAGTATGATTTTTAAATTAGATGTTTAAAATCAAAATAGGGTCGGATATTTTATTTCGGATTGATTGATTCATTTTGGAATAACTTGGATTAGCCGACCGGGTCATATTTCATATTTCATCCTATATTTCTAACAGACAAACAGTAAACTAAACTAAACTAAATGTATTTATATTTTCTTTTGTATTTTATTGTTGTATTTTATTTTTATCAATATAAATGATAAAAAGTAACAAATGACAATTAAAAATAAAAAGTTTATATTTCTAAGAGGCAAAAACAACCATATACAAATAAAACATGAACAAATATAACTATAAAATATATTTCTAATTCTATAAAATATAGTATTTTGCATAAAGAAAGCCTATTTGTGGCCAACAAAAATTTTTATGCAATACATAAGGAGGATAATAATGTAATATTTACTTTTAAACCATGAACTCTTATCATGCTAAAACAAAATATTGATTTAAGTTTTATTTGAATCTTTATCATTTGGCATCATAATTTATAAAAATGTAATGATGAATGCGAAACGTTAAAACTTCATGATGATAAATTATAAAATGAAAAAGGATTTACATTTCTAATAGTCTAAAATAACCATATATAAGATAAATAAATAAAAGATACTATAAAACAGTATTTTGCATAAGGAAAGCCTATTTATAGAACGATGAACATTTTTTATGCAATGTATGTAATGAGGATAATAATGTACTATATTATTTAAATAGTAAACTCTTATCATGATAATATTTGCCGTACTGTTTTTAATTTATGCTGAGATCAATTTAAAAGAAAAGTGCTTTTCATTCATGAATTCTAATAGCATGAATCTCAAATGAAAATCATTAGAGAATATCGACAGAAACTCAAAACTCCAAAACATACAAATGCATTACAGTAATGAGGATTTAGCAAATAATGGGAGGAAAATAATATCACAATGCAAAACAATGTCCTGTTTCTTTCCTTTTAAATATGAAACACGCCCTTCACAAGTTCTTGGCATGTTCTGAAGCTGGACTGCAGGTCACACACACACACACACACACACACCTGAGTTGTCCTCATCCTTGCGGATTTTGAGTTTGACCAGGTCTTCGCTCTGCTGGAGGATCTGGACGGCGTCCTCCATGCAGCAGTTCTCCAGACGGATGTTATCTATGGCCAGCAGCTTGTCTCCGGGCTCCAGAGTTCCTGTTCTGCAGGAAGAAACCATGAAACGCGCTTCAGTCTCACAAACAAACACTGGACACATCTGTGGAGTGAGCCAACAACTAAGTGTGTCCTTGACTTTCTGCAACGCAAAGTTGCAAAGAGGTTTTTCAACAAACAAGAAAAGGTATTTATATTTCTATATATATATCAGGATTTATATTTCTAGCAGCAAAAACATTTACATACAGAAAATATAATATAATAAAAAATAAAAAGGGGCAAAATAATTATCTTATATTTATACAAAAAATAATATAAGAATGTATATTTCTAGGAGTAAAAACATTTGATATGTAATGCAAAAATGAATTGAAAAAGTTAGTAAAAGATTTGAATATCTATTTGAGGCAAAACAAATAATTTAACATAAAGAAAGCATATTTATAGGCTCATAAACATTTCCATTCCTAAGTGTTTCTGCCAGTATTGTTAAGTGTTTGTTCATACCTGTGTGCCATGCTGCCTTTTTTAATGTCAGATATGATAAGAGGCTCTCCTGGTTTCTTACTGGCTGTAGAAAGATGGGAAAACACATAAAGAGTACAGTGTTTCAGCATATAACATACACACACACGGTTTCAAGCAAAAATGGAAACTCTTATCTGGATCCAGCATGAGCATGAGCCAGATGTTCAGAGAGAATATTTTGTGCAGATGGAATAAAACATTTTAAGAGCAGAATTCAATAACAAGTGTAAAAACTTGTTTTAAAAAAGCATCCAGTGGCAGAGTGTCTCTTATAAGTGTTCTATTTAAGTGTCTTAATATACTATTAATATATTAAGTGTATATATATTAATCGCACATTTTTCTGAAATTAATCGCGATTAATCCCACCTAACATTAAAGTTTTTAAATATACTTTTATATTGCAATAATTTCACATTCAATCTTCAAATTAATGTACAAACAACATAAAGACAGTATATTTTTT